TTGGAAAAAGTAGCATATCAGTGTATGTTAAAGAGGAACAGCACTGTACACATAGGAAATTTCAAGATCTATCTTGAAGAGTAAAGCTGTCTGTGATAGGATAAAGTCTACCTGCATACAAGGAGATACAATCAATACAACTATTATTCAGATATATGTACCAACCACTAAAGCTAGTGATGTAGAAATTGAAGAAGTATACCTAAGTCTTCAATCTGAAATTGATATAACATACTATCAAAATCCTTTAATAATTATTGGCAATTTAAATGCAAAAGAAACACAGAGGAAGGAACAGTAGTTGGAAAATATGGTCTTGGTGATAGAAATGAAGCTGGAGATTGATAGAATTGATAGAAATGAACATGATAGAATTTGAAAAGACCAAAGACTTCTTCATAGAAAAATTTTTCAATAATAATAAAAGGTTACTATACACATGAACTTCTTCAGATGGAATATACAGAAATAAAATTGATTATATTTGTGGGAAGAGACAATGGAGAACCTGAATATTAACAGCTAAAATGAGGCCAGGGGCTGACTATGGAACATGCCATTAATTGCTCATCTGTAATTTCAGGTTGAAGTTGAAGAAAATAAAAACAAATGTACGTGAGCCAAAATATGACCCTGAGTCTATCCCACCAAAATTTCAAGAACATTGCAAGAACAAATTTGGTGCATTAAACACTAATGACCAAAAATCTGATGAGCTCTAGGAGGACATCAGGATAGCATTCATCAAGACAGCAAAAGGTCATTACAAAGACAGGAAGAAAGACAAGATAAAGGTGGAGGTCAGAAGAGACTGAATTTTGCTCTTAATTGTACAGCAGCTAAGATATATGGAAGAAATTATGTCAAAGAGATGAGTAAAAAATGTCATAGGCATCTCAAGACGTCAAAGTAAAATATTATGATAAAATATGCAAAGATATACTGTTAGAAAACCAAATAGGAAGAACATACTCAATGTAAGTTAAACTGAAAAAAAACTCAAGAAAAAAAAAATTCAGGCTTCGAGTTGCAACACTGAAAGATCCTATGGCCAGAATATTGAATGCTGCAGGAAGCATCAAAAGAAGATGGAAAGAATACATAGAGCAGCTATACCAAAAAGAACTAATCGATATTCAACCATTTCAAGAGGTAGTATATGAACAAAAAACAATGGTTCTCAAGGAAGAAGCCCAAGCTATATTGAAAGTATTAGAAAAAAAAAAAAGAAAGTATTAGATAAAAGTACATTGCCAGGAATTGATGAAATACCAATTGAAACATTTAAACAAGCTAATGAAGCACTGGAAGCACTCAGCTGGTCTGTGCCAGGAAATTTGGAAGA